TTCTTTTTTGAGGTATCCCTGGTTATTCGCATGGAAAATGTGACTAGTGCCGCAATGCAACGTTTGATGAAAGAAGGTTGCCAAAATAGCGCGTCACAGATATATGATAAGTGTCATCTAACCGTAGAAACTTCACGTTTTTCCCTTTCACTGAATCCAACAAAGGTTAGGCAGCGCTGAATACAATCTAAATATGATGGTAAATTGTAGCGCCTTCAGTTAGGTCAAAATTATAAATAATTTTAAAATAGGCTTGCCGAATGATGATATGACTTAACAAACTTACAGAAATTTTGACACATAAGAAGGCAATATTTAACAGATGCGCATAAGCAATATAATTATTAGCAAAATTTAAGAGCTATCTAAAATTAACAGCATCTTAACGATCAATTAGCACCGTTCGCTACTGAGACTATTTCAAGAACAACGGAGATACAGCATACACACTTTCCCGCTTTATCTACAGTAAACTTCTCATTAACATCTGATTCTAAAGAGCATTTATTACTGTCGCGGTGAACCGTTCGAAGGTAACGTTGTCGAAGAGGCGATTTTTTCGTGAAAAGGGTTAAAAATATTTTTTGATATTCTCTAAGTCTGGTTTCAATTTTCAATTATAATTTTGAACGAGATGCATGGAGTGAGTTACAGCGGCGTTGCTGACTTTAGTGCAATCTGATCTTATTCTTTGCAGTATCATGTTACAAATGGTTGTGCGACACTAAGCCATATTGAACGAATGACTGGAGTATTGTAATGTGTACCGTGTACAGATAACTTTGCGTATGTTAACTTTACTCCAGACATGGAATGCGATTGATCCAAAGGGCATTTTGTAAAAGTGTAATCGTACGGAGTAGACTGAAGAAAGCCCCTTTAAACGATACTGTTTAAGAATTATGCACCCGCTTAAAAGTTCTACTTTTTAAGTGAGTAGAAGAGATAAATTCATGAATGAGAAAAGATCTGTATTATTTGTAATAGGCATTCATGATGTTTGATTTGGAGCTTAAATGAAGATTTTCCTTACGTCTAATTGGAAACGTCGGACATCGGACAGCAAATCGGAGACGTTTTGCTTATGCAACCGGCTCAAGGTGATGATCTCAAGACACACAAATCTTCGACGTTTCGAATCGCTTTGTTCCGTCGTAAGGTCTTGAGATGAAACAGTCTTTGTATCATTTCACCCCCTGACGACCGATCATGCATACTCTGAGACGGAGATTTTGCACTCAAGTCTATTGTGGTGGCATCTCGTCAGAGACCTCTGCTATTTTGAACTGAAAAGTTTTGATATTGCGTTCTCTGTTTTATTTTCTGCTCCCCATTCTTGCTGTGCCGTAGTGATTTGAATTGTATCGATTGATCGTTTCTGATGAGCGGTTCGCTTTGCTCTGTTCTCGTTAATATTCTGTTGGATTCATTTCAGGTTGCCTTATCTTGTCATATCCATGCCATTATTTGCACGTATGTTCATATATTCTGTTGCTTTATATGTAACTTCTTTTCTGCAAAAATGTTTCTACAATTCTATTCAAAGAAGGAAACTTAGCTCCTTCAGATGCATTTAAGTACGGTGTTTTTGTTGAGGGTTCATCGTTAGCTATGCTCTGACTGGCCTTTGTGTTTGCTTGTAAACTTGCTGTCAGTCGTTTGTTGTAGACTGCGATTAATCGCTCTCCCGTACACCGGTTTTCTGCTTTCTTGTAGGTATGCAAAAATATTTTATCTCCCACGCTGTCAAAGTCCTGATCAGGTTTAGAAATCAACTGTCATCTTTTCAATATTCGTTCTGTATTTCTGTCATTCCTCTTCATTCATGTTTTATTTGAATTCTGTAAACTTCTTATGCTATCAGTTATTCGTATCAACTTATTCCTTGACATTTTCAGTGCAAATTGGACCTGTGTGATTTACAGTTTTACCGTATATTTACGACCCGAACTTTATCACACTTCTTTCTTAATCGAAGCAACAGAACTCGTGACTACTTTATCATATTTGGAGGGCGTTAATTTTTGTTCTTGTTTCTGTCTTTTTATGAACCTATTTCACTTGTGTGATTTTATGTTTTATTTTCAGCTTTCGCTCTGTTATTGGATAGATTATTCTTCTGTTTTCCTTTTTTTATATTTAGTGCTAAAGTGTAATTTTTTAAAGTTCTGTTCTCCCGCAGACTTAACAGCCATATGTAGGCTGGGCCAAAGCGTAAAGTTTTACTTAGAAACAACATTTACAGTAACAGATAGAGACATGTAGTTTTCACCTAACTGAATTACTTCGCACGGTACGTGAATACGATTCCATGGTGTTTTCTTGCGTTCCGTTTTATTCTACCTTATCTGACAATTCTACACCACTGGTATTTTAAGTAAATAACTTCCAAGGTTCTTAACGATACCGTGCCATGGATGACTTGAAGCTAATTAGTGCTCTGATTCCATGGTTAGTCGTACGGCATGGAGCCTGATTAATTGTTTAATTAGCAACCGATGATACATCCCACCAACCAGGTCAAGTACCCACTGACCCAGCAGTGGTTTTCCATTGTATTCATTCTTGATGATGGCCGGTGTTAATTCAGTCGAAGCGTTGGTAGAATAGTTGCTAATAGAAATTTGTTTATTTTTCGTACTGCAAACCATAGAATCGGAAGACCTGTTAGCTTCAGGTTATTGTGAGTAATGTGGGGAGATGTATGCTTCACATTCGGCATTCGTTCGTATTTATTTTTAAAGTGAACATGACATGTATTCAGTCATAATCCACCGGACAAGGACAACGTCTAATTTTGATTGTGTTCTTTCGCGGTTCCTATGGTTGACGATGGCTGTTTCTGAGGAATTGTTTCATTTGTAATCAGGCAGCCAGCTAAACGTAGTACCGTTTCACTGCTATATTTGGTTTCGGTCGTGAAACGATTTTGACCCGCGCACCCTTTGTTCATTTGATTTAAGGGTCGATTGCGCGCTGTCAGTGATAAGTTAAACCGTACATCATTTTTTCGTTGCTGTGAAGTTCCTGGGATAGATTATTATTTAGTTTTGTCATCATTTGTTGTTTTTTATTTGCATATTTTCTTTTAGTGCGGCTTTTCGTCTCACTGTGATCGGTGATACTGTAAATAGTACATCTGGACTGCTTTCGCACCATTCTTCGACCAGTTATTATGCGTCAAGAGCAGCATTTTGCTGAATTCGAGGACCCTGTGTTAGCTGAATGTTTAGCCGCGTAAGAAGGCTGGGTTGACACCGTTGGGGTTGTAAAATGTTTTTATATTAGATTTTATGCGAACCAATCCAACTCGATCGATTGTCGTTTCAGATGGATCTAAAACCGCTCACGCCATCGCGGAAAACGCCAGCCCGGAAAACTCCACTCAAGGAACGCAACGAAATAGTGTCCTGTTCGTCTTGTGGTATAAGGTTGACTAAGAACGACCAGTCAAAACACTCTGTAGTATGCAGCAGTGAGACACCGTTTGTCGCCGAAACGGCTATCTTTGATTTCGTGCTTTCGAACGGATTTGTTGACGGCAACGGTACATTGTATGCCACCTTAAAGCTAGTGGATCTTCCGCCGGAGTTGCAGGGACTTGACCAGTGGACAATGGACCATCTGGTATTCATGAACGTACTATCTATGCAGACGTTAGGGATTGTGTTGGAAGAAGCGGTAGTGATGAGTTGTGGCCCCCAGCGCGAAAAGCACATAGCTATCATGTGGCCGCATGAACAACTGCCTTCGCTGGTTGTTGGAATTCCGAGGAACGGGCTGTACGCCGCACTGGTAAAAACAGAAAAATGCGTCTTACTCGAAACCGTGCCGTTGACGATCGCCTCTGAGGTATGTGTTCGCATTTTGAACGAATCTTACTGCGTCGATCAACCGTCTTTTGCAAACTACCTTCATTCTTGCTTATGTAACGTCATCTTCTCAAGTCCGTCCACGGAAGCGGTTTATGTGTACGGACAACGATTCGCAGTACGACTTACAGCGATCGAACAACGGTCAGGTGTCGACACCATTCCTCCTCTGCTGTCTAATCTGAAAATTTCGACCGAGTCTATTTCGGATAAAGGTTCTTATTCGTCGAGTGAAGAAGAACCACAGAAGTTCAGTAAATCGTCTTCTACAGCGATGTCTTACTTCAAAATTACCAAATCGACGACAGTCAAGGTTCACAGAAAAGCTCTTCCTACCACTAATTTTGACGATATTGGCGGTCTTCAGAGAGCGAAGGAAAGGCTGATTCATCATGTTATTTACCCGATGCAGTTGTTGCGAGCGAAGCAGATCTCGGGTCGAGAAGTTCATACAAGAAACATCCTGTTATACGGTACGAGTGGTTGCGGTAAAACGCTGTTAGCAAAGGCTTTGTCAGTCGAGGCAAACCTGCCTTTAATCTGTTTGCAAGTAGGCGAGTTAGAATCGAAGCTTAGAATCGATGACTTACTGCCCCGCTCGTCTGACATCACATGCCCTGCGCCTTGTTTGGTCTTATTAGACGAAATCGATAGCTTTCTTTCAGGAAAGCGACTTCAGAAAGAAGGATTAGAAGCCCTGTGCAAACTGATGGATGGTGCATCCGAAGCCGAGCAGCCATGGTTTTTCATCGCCACTAGCAACAAGCCTGAAAAGCTTCACTGTGAAATTCGCCGACGGTTTGATCTCGAAATTGACGTAGCCGTTCCGACGGCTTTTGACCGAGCCAGCGTTTTGAAGATCATTTTAAAGGACTTTGCTCATCAGTTGAGTGATACGGATATTGTCCAGGTCGCCGACCTAACACACGGCTATACCCCGAGTGATTTGAAAATTCTTTGTAAGGAGGCCGTTAGCGCTAGCTACGCTCGGCAGTATGAAACCAAGAATCATTGTCGACTATCGCTATCCGACATGTTCATGTCCATGAACAATGTCCGCCCGTCTGCGATGCGAGAGATATTCATCGACATACCGAAGGTGAGGTGGGACGAAATCGGAGGTATGCAAGAGTTGAAGTTGAAACTGAGGCAGACCGTTGAATGGCCCCTGAAACATGCCGATCGTTTCGCCAAGCTCGGAATCACGCCGCCAAAAGGCGTACTCATGTACGGCCCACCCGGCTGTTCAAAAACCATGATCGCAAAGGCACTGGCCACTGAAAGCGGGCTGAATTTTATTTCCATCAAAGGCCCGGAACTTTTCAGCAAATGGGTCGGCGAATCTGAGAGAGCGGTTCGCGACGTGTTTCGAAGGGCACGGCAGGTGGCGCCGTCGATCATCTTCTTCGACGAGATCGATGCCATCGCATCCGAACGGTCCTCGTCACAGGAAAGTGGACGTGTCTCTGATCGTGTCCTCGCTCAGCTGCTCACCGAAATGGACGGTATCCAGAGTTTAGACTTGGTCACTGTAGTGGCTGCTACGAACCGACCGGATAAGATCGATCCTGCGCTTCTTCGACCCGGTCGTCTGGATCGGCTTATTTACGTACCGTTGCCCGACGCAGAAACTAGGCGAGAGATTCTTCGTCTACGTTGTGCGCATATGCCCATCGCCCCTGATGTTACCATGGATTGGTTGGTTTCGGTAACAGATCAGTACTCCGGTGCCGAAATCGTGGCGTTCTGTAACGAAGCGGCTTTGATTGCTATGGGCGAAAATCTGGACGCCTGTGAGGTCGCTCAGAGGCACTTTAAAAAAAGTTATTCGTTGGTCATCCCGAGGGCATGCCACTCGCAGATATGTGAATACGAACTGTTTGGTATGCGATAATTTTTCAGTATCGTTTCGGCTTGTGATAACTTAGTAGACATCAAAAAACGTGGTCACGAATGAATCCGTGCGTAAAATGTGCTTTTCATTTAAGTCATCCATTTTCTAAGCGGTACACGAAGTTAACTGAATTAATCACGACAGAACAGTTCCTTGGGATCAAATGAGATGCTTCACAGTTGAAGCCTGATACATAAAAAGCTGAGAGTTATTTGCTAAAAACCTGCCTTATTTGAATAGCGTTACCATTAAAAGTATCACTGTCAAGAATTAACGATCAGTTTGGAAGCTTATTCCTCTCCAAGATCAGTACGTCATACACTGTTAAAGTTTTTTTCCGTCAGAGGTCAGATATCGTGTATGGAACATATTAAGGTAAAAAAGGGAGAGCAGAAACGATTGTCAGCCACTGAAAAGCCGCTTTATTTTCATTGCTCATATACTGTCCGTCCGAAAGTACATAATGTCCTAAGATATAATGTTTGCCCGTCTCATATTTTAGCGACGCCGTTTGCAAGATATCTTTAAACTGCGGAAATACAGTCTGATTGCAAACAGCAAGTATTGATAAATAACGATCTGTGAAACCGTCAGAAGAATTCGGAGACCGTGGTTAAGTAAAAACAACCTCAGAAAGGAAAAAACAAATGGCATCCAAGCCATCAAACGAATCTCCTATCATTTCTCCAAATTCGCACGGTGTAAGAGCACCCTTGCTTCTACTAGCCTAGGAGAACTTTTCACCCGGCCACGGCTGCATGGCAATTTAGTATCTGGATGCAAAACCCGTCAGATAAGCGTGACACAATTGTGAAACCTAGATCAGCAATTACGAGTGTTACAAGTGAAAATTCTAGCGCATGAACATGAAATTGTCCTTTTTTAACGTAGGTAAAAGCAAGGTAGCAAATTAAATGCAAAATAAATAATCGTGCCAATAAAGTCAGAACAGAAAGAAAGGAAAGTTATTTGCACTTAAATTCTAGGGCCAATTCTAGCACCTTGCACCCTTGTTAAGTTAATGGTTCTAGTTGGATCTCTATTTCCATGTTTTCAGCCAGAAGCGCCTTATTTTTAAAGGCAGAATCGACAACAGCTATGTGGCAATCATACTCTGTACTCCGCTGCTTTTTTCCAACTCATTTGTCACTGATATTCATTTATCAACCTTGGAATGAATAAAAGCGACTGATTCCGACGGGGACTCGAACCCAGAACCTTTCAATGCTTTGCTGACCGAGTATCCGTGGTTTGAAGCACGTGTGGTAAATTCTTTGCTCAAGGAAATTCATGATAATAGCAAACAAACTCTTTCAGCCGCGGAAATCCAGCGAGACATGTCCAAAGATCAAGTTCTAAGCCAACCTTATACACACCGTGCCACCACGCTATGGCCATTCTACTGGACACCGTGTAAAAGAAAGATATCGCAATGCTCATAGAGTGGGTTGTCGATTTCGAGAAGGCTTTCAGCTCGGTCTGTATTGAATTCCTTAAGGAGCCAGGCAATCAAGAAAAGATACAGACACCCCATCTCTATGGTTTACAGAAATGCAACTGATAGTGTGAAGCGTCAAGAAAGCACAAAAAAGTCCAAAATCAAAAAGTGCATCTGACAGCGATGCCAAATCACCGGTTATTCACAGCAGCCTTGGAAGAGGTTTTAAGGATACTTAATTAAGATAATGACGGGATGAGGATAAATATGCACTGCTTAAGCCACGTGCAATTTGCAGACGATTTCTTGGTCTTCTGAAGGTCACCAGAAGATTTTCAGTGAGCCTACAGCTGAGCGACGCCGGCATCAAGGAAGGTCTGCTGAGAATGAACCTAAAGAAGACAGGTTATGTTAAATTGATACCTGACTTCATGACTTGTTAAAATCAGTTTACTAAGCCTTCTACATATGCAGAACTACGCCTATCTGTGGTCGCTCATAACTGCAACGGAGAACCGACTGCGAAATCAATCGAAATGTAAAAATGGCATGGAGCACTTTTGTAACACTGAAAACGTTTTTAGCTGAGAAACTGTTTGTTCTGCTTGAAACAGAACATTTCATCAGTACATGCTGTCAGTGCTAATTTGTGGGTGTGAAATGGGACCCTAAACCTTAAATCTTAAACTGCAGGCTACTCAACGCAGCATCCAAAGCTGTATGCTGAGAATGATAGGAAGACGAATGATTTAGAACACAAGGAAGTCTGTGACGTCAAGGCAGACCGAAGAAGTTAAAGTGGTAATGGGCAAGACACGTTGAAAGAACCGCCCATCTTTGGACCAAGCATGCATTAGACTAGGTTCCAAGGGAGTAAACTTTTCTAGAGAAGACTTCTAAATCGATGGCAGAATGAGCTGAAATTTGCTGGATCAAGGTGGATAAGAATCACGGAAAATAATAGTCTATGCCAGAGTCTGCGGGAATCCTTCATCCAACATTGTGTCGAAGAATGTCTGATTACAACAGCGTATAAAATAATGAAATTGGTGTTCCAGTCTGTGACAGTTCCGGAAACAAGTTCGAACTGTTACCTGAACTGCCAATAGTAGGACAGTAGAATTTGCTTATTGGTGACAGACTCAATAGCTCGGTCACTACCTAACGTAATGAAGATTCCGACATGACTTCCAAATCCTCGACGTGCCATTCAGTCCACTATGACCTCGTAAGACTCGGTAGCGTTATTATTTACAAACGATCTCTTGCCGCGTCATTTGTTCTTTGCTGTATTTTTCAAAGAACGGTAGTGATTGAATCTTAAATATTTTATTCTTAGGTAAACACCTGTTATTGTTACGGTGAGTACACAGAAAGTAAAGCAAAAGATTAGCAGATTTATGTCCGCACCACAGACAGACAGAAATGACAATAAATTACGTTACATGCAACACGGCAGCAAATATGAAAATATCACAATCAAGCAGACCCTAGAAACAAGTGCAAAAACATTCAGATCGAATTAGGACACATTCGGAGGAGGAAGTGCCCAAAGAATCATGCTGCGATCTGCACTGGTGCTGATGAACGTAAAATCGTGTGGATGCCATCGGCACTGAATCACTTTGTCTTCGTGTTGCGCCACAGGAAGATACTTGAGCGGTTCCATCAAGTCTCCTCTCATGTCCGTAATAATAACCCTGGAAAAATCATTCGCTGGATGCAAAGCTTTTCACAGAATAGTGCAGTACTCACTGTTTATCGTAGGATCCGGATAAAAGGTAATAAGTGCCTGGACTGAACCGTACGGTTCGCACGTCATCCGTGTGCGGTCGGAAAAGCTGAACAACTCTTGAACCCTGTATATCGTAAAATATAATCGAAGCGTCCTCGTGTCCGCTGACCAACAATCGTCCACTCGGATCGACGCAAACTGACGTTACCGGAGAATCTAAAGTTTAACATTACAAATCTACGCCAACCAAGCATACTTAAATGATCTGAGAAAATTATAAAAATCCATACATTTAAGAAGCTGCTTCGTTTCAGATCAGAGAGTCACTCTCTCTCTCCCTCCCCCTCTCCCTCCCTCTCTCTCCCTCTTTCTCTCTCTGGAGTAATCTGAATGGTGTGCTTGATGAAAGTAAAGGAAGCCTCGACTCTGGACGGAACCAGCAATGGATGCTTCAATCAGTGCTTCGATCAGGAAAAAGTTATTTCTGCAGCGTATAGTACTAGAGAGGACAGAAAAATGCCAGCTAAAGCAGCAAGGGCACGCAAAGAACAACGCCCCTTCAAGAAAAATATATACGCACTGGGTGAGAAAAACGATGAAAAGGTAGACAAAAATTTGAGACCATCATCTTAAATGTGCCTATGGCACAACAGTGTTTGCAATGCAGCATCGGTTATCCGGCAGCTGAGGGAAAAATTCGAAAATTATGAAAAAAGAGGCGAGAAAACGTAAAATATAAAAATGCGTCGTAGGACTATTCAAAGTTCTGGATAAGGATGACAGAATATACGGTTAAGACTCGCCTGGAAAAACATCTACCTGCCTTCGCAACGGAAGAAAACGTACCTTATCGTTGTAGAACATTTGACTGAACACCCACATGAAACCCCTTTCATAACAGCATTAACTAAAAAACTAGTCAGTTCACTACCTGTTACTGGCCTTACAGCTGAGATAAAATCAGGAATATTCTTGCATTAGAATAACAGTAAGTGGAGACGAGCGGAAATGACAAGTCTTAAGCATGCTGTAGGTCTGCATGGGTTATAGATGAATATGACAAGAATAACTATAATAGCGAACTTGCCACTGGTCTTCTAATAGTTGGCTATAACAGTCTTCAAATACATACACTTCCGTTTTTGAGCCTTATGTCGAACAGTGACATCGATCAATCAAAATAACTTGCATCTGTGTAACGTGCATCTATTACAGAAAACGTCATGGAAACTCATGAATGATCGAGAAATGAATAACTACGTTGGCTTAATTTATTTGGTTAAGCTATCAAGGCATTAGGCGAACGAGGCATGTGCCGGCTAACACGTGTCTGTCAAACTGCGATGACTGCGAGAAAGACACCAGCGGACTGGAGAACGGGAGTTAT